CAGGTCCTGAGGCTATTGCTACAATGAGCTCAGGACTACTGGGCATGAAGGTGGCCACCCAGTGGCTGATGGGGGCACAGAACAAGAGACACGGTCCAGGGCTCACAGGAGTCCACACCCTGTCATGGAGGCGGTAGGAGGGGTCTCCGGGATCATGGCACAGGGGTAGGATGCGAGGAGGATGCCAACCATAGGCACAGCTCGCCTTTCCACATAAGTCAGCCAAGGACTCCATCCCACAGCTGAACAGTCACCTTCACATGCTGCCCGATGCTGACCCACCAGCCCAGCCTGTGCACCCCCCACATGGACCTTGGAGGCCCCGTGTGGCCCACCAGCGCAGCCCGTGCACCCCCCACAAGGACCTTGGAGGCCCCTCTACTTCCTCTTGTATCCGTTGTCCAGGGGCTGTCAGCTGCCCATCATGCTGCAAGGACGCTTAGGCCACGCTGTGAGGCAGTCACACGACCTCCTGTGGAACACCGCCCCAACTCCCAGCTGTGCAGGGGTGGCCCTCAGAGGCAGCCTTGAACCATGTCTTTGTTTTTATTTTAATTGTTTTTATTTATTTTCTACTTCACGTGAAAGACAAACAGACACACAAAGATTTTCCATCCACAGGCTCACTTCTGAGTAACTTGCAGCAGCTGGGGCTGGGCCAGGACGACACCAGGACCCAGGGGTCTTTCCAGGTGAACATCCCCCGTGTGGATTGCAAGGACCAGTATCTTTTCAGAATCAGTGTTTTTAAAGTTTGTACAAGTTGGAGGAGGGCCAGCACGATGGCTTGGGCTAAATCCTTACCTTGCATGCGCCAGGATCCCATACAGGCACCGGTCCTGGTGGCCCCGCTTCCCATCCAGCTCCCTGCTTGTGACTGGGGAAAGCAGTCGAGGATGGGCCAAAGCGTTGGGACCCTGCACCTCTGTGGGAGACCTGGCAGAGGCTCCTGATTCCTAGCTTCGGATCAGCTCGGCTCCGGCCGTTGCAGCTGTTTAGGGAGTGAGTCAGTGGACAGAAGATCTTCTCTGTTTGTCCTCTTCTCTGCCTATCTGACTTTCCAATGAAAATAAATAAATAAACAAATCTTTAAATAAATAAATCTTTAAAATGCATAGTGGTGGGGGCGGGCAGGCAGTGTAACGGCTCAACTGGCTAACCCTCCACCTCCAAATATGGCATCCCATATGGGTACCAGTTCGTGTCCCAGCTGCTTCACTTCCCAGCAGCTCCCTGCTTGTGGCCTGGGAAAGCAGTCGAAGACAGCCCAAGTTCTTGGGGCTCTCTGCACCTGTGTGAGAGATTGGGAAGAATCTTATGGTTCCTGACTTCAAACCAACCTAGTTTGGGCCATTGTGAAGTCATCCAGCAGATACAAGATCTCTCTCTCCTTTTTTCTTTAAATCTGCCTTTCCAATAAAAATAAATACATAGTTTAAGTCATATTTATTTATTTGAAAGAGGGATTTACAGAGAGACACTGAGGAAGAGAGGTCTTTCGTGTGCTGGTTTGCTCCCTAGGCGGCTACAGTGGCTGGAGCTGAGCTGACCCAAAGCTGGGAGCCAGGAGCTTCTTCAGGTCTCCCATATGGGCGCAGGGGTCCAAGGACTTGGGGCCATCCTCCACTGCTTTCACTGGCTTTTTGAGGACCTCTGTATGCATGCCTTCCAATTTTTTTGCACCAAAGTTCCATTTTGCATGAACTGAAAAAAATTATCTGAGAGGCAGTTCATCTGTGTGTTCACTCTCCACTGGCTAGGACCAGGCCAGGCTCACGCTAGGAGCTGGGGTGTCAGTTCAGGTCTTCCATGTGGGCGGCAGATACCCTGCTGCCTCCCAGGGTGTGCGTTGCTTGGCAGGAAGCTGGGGTCAGGAGCAAAGCTAGAGGCCATCCCAGGCACCCCAGTGTGGCACACAGGTACCCTGGCCACAGGCTGAACCCCCAACCCTGCACACACGGGTGGCAAAGCACACTCTGTGTGTAGTGACGACCCCATTGTGGCTCTAAGTCACTCCGTAATGACAAGCAGAGCCAAGCTCTGTGCAGCCCACCTCTCCGTCACTGTCTCCTTCAGAGAAGCACCTGTTCGTTTCTTTGGCCTAGTTTTTAAAATGGGTCGTTTCTCTTGATTTTTTTTTCTCCTGCCTCTTCAAGGTCACTGCCAATACAGGGGCACAATCTCACCGCTGGCATAGTGCCCTGGAGTTAGCTCTGCTCCTTTGCTGCCTTCTGCAGCAGCGCGACAGGCGTGGAACAAGGTGAGAGCCGGCGTTGCTGGACTTGAAAAGACTGGCTCCATCTTTAACCCACTGCAGGCTCATTCCCTTATTTTACATAAGAGAGAGAGAGACCCAACACTTTTGTAAAATAGCTTAAGCCTGCCCTCTAGGCATACAGGGAGTGAGAGAAAAAAATCATTTTCTCATATTGTGATCGCTAAATGGTTTCTCTGTGGCCCTCTTCTTGCCTTCCTGTGGGAGCTGTCAGTCTATCCGATGACTGACCTTTAGGAAAAAGCCATTGAAAACAATTTAATTGGTGTCTAGACCTGCCAGGGTCACGGTGAGCTGGCCCCACAAGCCCCTGGCATTATTGCCATGTGATTCCTCACTCTTATCACAGAATGGTCTGTCAACATGCTTGTAATTCTAAACGTTTAATGCAAAAGTAGGCGTGGAGTGCAGGGGGACCCTAGTCACCACTCCAGCTGGTCATCAGCCAGAATTGTCAGGGAAAAGGGAGACATCTCAGAGGAGCTGGAGGAAGGAGCCTTGGAGATGGTAGAAGATGGGGCCAGCTTGGCAGCACAGGTGGGGGTTAGGCCGTGATGCCAGCAGCCCCTGAGTGCAGGCTGGGGCCCTGGCTGCTCTGCTTCCCATCCAGCTCCTTGCTGAGGAATCTGAGAACGCGGCAGATGGCGGCCCAGGCACTTGGGCTCCTGCCGCCCACATGAGCAACCTGCGAGCAGTTCCTGGCTCCTGGCTGCAGCCTGGCCCAGCTTCAGCAGTCAGGGCATTTGGCGAGTGAGTGAAACAGCAGAATGAAGAGCTAGCTGCTGCACTGTCATCTCTGCCTTTCAAATAAAGTCTCTAAGCTGTGGTACGTACCCCAAGCTTGCCATCTCAGCTCAGGGATGAGACACATCCAGGTGGCCGTATAGCCATCCTTGCCACCATCTCCAGCTGAAACTGCCCTCCCAGCCCCTGGCTCCCACCACCCCACTGTTTGTGTGGGTCCCTGGGAAAGTCAGTCACCCCACTTTGCTCCTCTGTGCCTGGCATTGCATAAGGCCCCCATGGCAGCAGGTGGCCCATTAGCTTTGGGCTGATGGGAGTTTTGAGGTGAACCACCTTGTGCCTGTGCCCAAGAGTGCAGCGCAACATGCCGTGCCCGATTCTGAGCTGAACCAGCCCCGCCCCGGTTAGCCGCACCATGCCACACTCCCTCTCTCTATCAGATCAATATTTTCATTGTTTAAAACAAGATGATTGGGGCTGGTGTGGTGGTATAACAGGCTAACCTTCTGCCTGCAGCGCCAGCATTCCATATGGGTAACAGTTCATGTCCTGACTGCTCCACTTCTGATCCAGCTCCCTGTTAACGTACCTGGCCCCAGTCCGCATGTCGGAGAAGCTTCTGGCTTCCAGATTTGGCTGGACCTGCCCAGCATTGGCTGTTCTGGTCATCTGCGGACTGAACTAGCAGATGGCAACTCTCTTTGTCTCTCCTTGTCTCTTTATAACTCTGCCTTTCGAGTAAAAATAAATCTTTAAACTTTTTTTTAAGAGTATTTGCTTACTTGGAAGGCAAAGTGACAGGGAGAGAGACACACACAGAGACAGAAGGGGAGACACAAATATCTTCTGGCTCCCTCCCCAAATGTGTACGGCTGCCACGAAGCCACGAACTGGGCCAGAGGCCAGGAGTCACTTCCACATGGGTGGCAGGGGCCAAGGACACGGGCTGTCCGGTGCTGCTGTCCTGGGCACATTCCCAGGGCCTGGGTGGGAAGCCCAGCAGCGCAGCCTGCCGTTTGGCGAGGGGATGCCTTGTAAGTGGTAGTGTACCCACCGGGCCACGGTGCAGGCCTCAGGTCAGCACTGGGTGCCATGCCTCCCTCCCCTTGCTCCCAGCTGCCCCACCACCGGCAGTGGGTGGGTCCCTCCATGCCCCAGCTTCCTCTGTGGCGTCTTGGTCCTGTGGCTCCATCTGCAGCGGCCTTGGGTCCAGCCTGCAAGGCACCTGCAGCTTCTTGCCCGGATCCCAGCTCCTCCCAGCTCAGGGGTCCGCACTGAGGGAAGGATGCTTGCCCCAGCTTGTCTGTTCTGTGCTTCCAGCAAGGTCTCCGTCCGGCTTGTTACCCATCCACCGCCATGTCCTCTTACATGTAACTGGGTTCTGGCCAGCTGCACCCTAGCTTGCAGGGTGGGCGGGCGGGCAGGTGCCCCAGGCAGCTCCAAGGTCCTGGCAGCCACAGGCTCCTACCGAAGAGGTCTCCTGCTCTGTGCGCGCCCACTCAACAATCACTAAGTGTGGGGGGCGGGGGGTGGCGGGGAGACTATGCCCCCACCCCGCCCCGTTCCTCCAGGGGGACTTGGATGAAGCAACAAGGCACAGCCCGCAGGGCTAGGGACCGAGAGGGGCTCCCTCGCGGACAAGTGCGGCGCCGGGCCCTGCGCGCGTCCGACGCGTTCGTGGAGGGAATGAGTGACCGCGGGAAGGCAGGGAGGTGCAGGGGTCGGAGGTGCTGGGCGCGCGTCTTCGGCCATCGACTTGGCAAGCCCTCCGCGCCTGGCCGGCCGCGCGCGGCACGGGGACAGGGTGGCACCGCCGGTCCCAGCGCGCAGGGCGCGCGCGCGCGCACACGGAGGCCCCGGCCGGTTCGGCTCCGCTCCGCTCCGCTCGGCGCGATCCGGCCCGGGTTTCCGCGGCCGCCGCGCCGGCCTCCCCGCCCCCCGCGCCTCCTCCCCGCCGCGGAGCCGCCGGCGCTGCGCGAACATGGCCGAAGTCGGCGAGGACAGCGGCGCCCGCGCCCTGCTGGCGCTGCGCTCGGCGCCCTGCAGCCCCGTGCTGTGCGCCGCGGCCGCCGCCGCCGCCTTCCCCGCGGCCGCCGCCCCGCCGCCGCCGCCCGGGCCGCCCGCCGCGCCGCCGCCGCCGCCGCCCGGGCCTCCGCCCGCCGCGCCCCCGCCGCCCGGGCCGCCGCCGCCGCCGCCGCTGCCGCCGGGCGCGATCGCGGGCCCGGGCTCGGACGGGGGCGCGGGCGCGGCGCCGGCGCTGGTGGCCGCGGCGGCCGCGTCGGTGCGGCAGAGCCCCGGGCCGGCGCTGGCGCGGCTCGAGGGCCGCGAGTTCGAGTTCCTCATGCGGCAGCCGAGCGTCACCATCGGCCGCAACTCGTCGCAGGGCTCGGTGGACCTCAGCATGGGCCTGTCGAGCTTCATCTCGCGGCGCCACCTGCAGCTCACCTTCCAGGAGCCGCACTTCTACCTGCGCTGCCTGGGCAAGAACGGCGTCTTCGTGGACGGTGCCTTCCAGCGGCGCGGCGCGCCCGCCCTGCAGCTGCCCAAGCAGTGAGTGCCGCCCCCGGCCCTCCCCGCTCGCGACTTCCCTCCCCCCGACCCCCGGGTCGCCGTGCTCCTGCCCCCCTGTGCCTCCTGCGCCCAGTCCGAGCCTCCCTCCGGCGACACCCCGACCCCCTTCCTCAGCCAGCCTCAATCCCTGGGGTGGAACCTACAGGACCGCCCCCAGCTCGGCCTGCCACCCTATGGGCTTGGACCCCTGACCCTGGGCACCCAGAAGGATGGCTGGCAAGTGTTAGGCTTCGAGTCTGATGAGGGTGTGGGGGCCCTGGGCGCAGCTCTGCCCACTCAGCAGGCGGGGCCAGCTGCCCCAGGTGAGGGGATGAGGAGGCCCCTTCAGCCGGCTGGACGCTCCTGGACGAGGCACGCCGGCTGCCCCTGCCTTGGGCCCGGCCAGCACTGCAGGGCCCAGCCGGCCTAGATGGGAGACAGCCCTGGCGCCGGCTCACTTCGCTCACTTCCTCCGCGGCCGCACTTTCTTTTTCTGTTTCATCCTTGCTGCGCTCACTGAGCTGGCTGCGGTGCCGTTCCCTGAGCTGGGCCAGCTGCAGGTGGCTCCCTGGCCTACCTGGTCATAAAACCCGTGGTGAACAGTTTTGAAGTGCAGCCTGGGCGTGACTCACTCCTCCTTGGGGTGTGCGAGGGAACACTTCCCTTCATTTTCCAAACCCTAAAGGTGTGTGCCCTGCTGATGAGTCAGGGCTTCCGAACACCTCGTGGTGGGGACACAGCGCGCCCCTCTGTCCCTGCTGGGCAGGGGCCTGTCTGCTGCTGTGCCTTGGAACATTTGGTTTCTGGGGCTTCCTGTGGCAGCCCTGGGACAGGTGCAGCAGGCATTGGCTTCCGGCAGCACCCCCAGGCGGTGCCCGCTGACACTCCCAGGAGCTTCGTGGGCCTGGTTGGGTGCACCTGATGGTGGGGTGCAGACGTGCGTGGGCACACCTGCTAGCTCAGGGGAGAGCTGCTGTGTGAGCTGTCTGTGCCATCTCTGTTGCTGTGTCTGAGCAGGACCCAGGTGGGCAGTGATGCGAGCTGTGTGGGACCAGGGCGGGCGGCAGAAGTGGCCCCTTTGGGGAAGGCTGAGCTGCCTGGGCCTGGGGCGTCCTGTTCCTTTGCTCAGGTCGCCGTCTCAGAGCAGGATCGGGGCTGTAAGCCTATCACCTTGCAGGTAGCCCAGAGCCCTCAGTGAGTCTGAGCCAAGGCTGTCCTGGTAAGTTTTCCTTACCCCCAGGCGGGAAACACCCCCTGGCTTTATGAGGAGCAGCCAGCAGCCCTCCGACTGCACAGGTTCCGTGACACACAGCCGCCGGAGGCCTGGTGTGCTTACTCCCCAAAACCTTCTCATTCTGTCCTCGCCCACTGCCTTCCTCGCCTTAGATTGTGCCCTGCACCCCGACCCTGCAGGCGCTGGCACTGGCTGGCAGGTGCCCAGCGGCTTGGTCAGCCCGCTGCCAGGACAGGCCTGGATATCCCTCCTCTGCTCAGTGTTTTGTTTTTAAAACATTTGAAATAGAAGTGCTGGAATTCTTTGTTTTTGTTTTTGCTTAAATTTGTAAGGCCAGAGAGGGAGAGCTTGACAGAGATCTCCACGTGCTGGCTCACTCCCCAACTGACCACAGTGGCCAGGGCTGGAGCCTAGAGTGGATCCTGAGTGGCCGCGTACGTGAGCTGTCCGCGGCCACTTTCTCAGCCGCATCAGCAGGGAGCCAGATCGCGTGTGGAGCCGCCAGGACTTGAACCGTCGGTCTGACGCAGGGTGGGCTTCAGCTCCATGCAGCACGCGGGCCTGGGGCTGACGCAGAGCTGACAGCCGCTGCCTGCGCTGTCCTCACACGGGGAAGCTGAGGGCTTCTGAGGGTCTGTCTGCAGGCCGCCTGTGCTGGGTTGGTTGCGGGAACACGTCCCTTACCCAGCAAGTTTGCAGCTGCCTGGGAGACCAGTGTGTGTTGCAGCTTGGTTCCTGGGCCAGTGGCCGGCCTGAGCAGGTGTGCCTGCGAGTGTGTGTCCCCGCGCGTACACCCTGCGGCCAGACACGGGCCTTAGGACACCTGCACCCAGACGACAGGACCCTCACAGCCCCTCGTCCCTCCCACCTCACAGCGCCTGGGCTGTGCGTGTGGACCCGAGTGAAGACGCCTACGTGTGTGGGTGGCTGCGGGTGCTGAGGTGGCGCGGGCGGCATCCCGCCTGCCTTGGAGCGGGGCTCCTTTCTGCTGCGGCGTATCTCCCACGCCCGCATACTTAGGAGTCGCAGAGGCTGTTCCAGCCCCCGTGAATATTTCAGTAAAGGCTGCGAGATAAGACTTCCTTGTTGAAAACTTAAACCACAGTGTCATTATCATACCTACGACACTGACAGAGATTCCTGGTCCTGGGCGTGGGCTTTGCCCTGTCTCACCCGCTGGCTTCCAGGCCGGTGTCCCTGCGAGGGGCTGGCCTCCCCAGCTCCACCCCGGCTCGCTGCATCATTGGAGGCACCAGGTATCAGTCCCCTGTGGATTCTCCGTCCTGTCCCTCCTTTGTTTCCTGTAAACAGGTTACTGCATCCAGAGGTTTGATTTGTTGTGGATGTTTTGCTTTTTTACTGAACCCAACCTGGGCGGTAGCGCCCAGTCTCATCAGCGAGTAGAGCCCCCTACCAGCCCGATCCCGTCCTGCTCTGGCGGCAGAGGGGCCCCTGGGACTGGTGGGGGTCCTGAGTCACAGCCTCTGTCCCCGGCCGCAGGAGTCCCACTCACCCGCTAGCCACGTGGTCTCAGACCTGGTCACGTAGGGAGGCCCGTGGCGTCAGTTATGAACCATTGTACCGACCAGGCCTAGTGAAGACAACGGGCCTCAAGGGCTGGCTGGCCAGGGCCCCTCTGTCCCGGCTCTCTGGCAAGGAAGCCGCGGGGTCGTGGCTTGTTGGCGGCTGGGGGTACCTGTGCTCTGCGGCGTTCTGCCTTTGGGATGAGAGAAGACCGGGTCCATTTGTCTCCAGTGGAGGATACGACCCAAAGAAAGCTGGGCTGAAGCCTTGGCCCAGCCAGGGGGCTCCCCCGTCCCGAGAGAGGGAAAGACTGAATTAGATCCAGGCAGTTAGGGACCCTCGCCTATACTACCCAGCGGGAGACAGGACGGTCATCCTGCCCTGGGCGTCCGGGGGCAGGTGAAGGGCCTGTGCAGGGAGCCTTGAGGCACACGGGGAGCGGGCGGACAGGAGAGGGTGCCCGGTGAGTCCATGCCCACGGGCAGGTGGGACACGCTCACCCTGCAAGGGAAGGCTTTCCTGGCTTCCGCCGCCTGGCAGGTTGCACATCATAGCGTTGGTTCCAGCCCCGGCCGGCGTCTTGTTGACTGTGGGAGCGCAGAGGGCTGGAAGCTAGTCCCTGGGTCTGTGTTAAACAGGAGCCGTTGCGTCGTGAGGGTCTGTTCAGGCTGTTTGTGGGCCCCCATCCTACATGACGAAGAAAGTGAACCATGGGGACCCCTCGTGGTGTCGTTGTTTCGTCAGGGGACACGGCCGTGCGTCGCGCTGTCTTAGTGCTACTCCTGTTTAACACTTTGGAAAATGCCCCAGTTTTGTTTAGAGGGATTTGCTGAAACGAAGCAGCAGCATTTGCTGTGGAGACAGACTGATTTACTATTTGCTGTTTTTGCATCTTGTCAGGGGATAAACTTGCTAAATTAATGACAGCTCGGCATTGCAGTATGCCTCATTTCCATAATTACTCTACACTTAACACATCTCGTATTAAAATGAGAGGACTCTATAAAAGACTTGTGCTTTGATTTCCTGGAAATGGGCCTTGTATTGTGACTCCTTGACAGGCTTGCAGTTAAGGCTCACTGCAACCGCTCGTCATGAGGTTCCCGCTTCCTGGTGAAATGTGTGTGGACAGACAGCAGCTCGCGTGTTCGTGAAGGGAGACGGCAGGAAGCCAGCTCGCTGTGCCTGGACAGCGCAGCCCCCCCATCCAAGTCACAGACCACCTGCACACGGGTGGCTTGTCTGCCTGGGAGTGGCTCCCCACAGGAGTGCGCCCAGTAGACACGCAGAGAGCAGGGGTGTCTTATCTAAGACTTAAAAGAAAGAATGGTCTGCTTATCTGTTTGAGAGGCGGAGTGACAGAGAGAGGGCTTTGATGTGCTGGGTGGCTCCCCAGATGATCACAAAGGCTGGCCAGCCCAGGAATCTGGAGCTGCCTCTGGGTCTCTCACCTGGCTGGCAGGAACTCTGTCACTTACCCACGCACGATAGCAGGGGCTGGATGGCGAGCAGCACCCGGATGTGGGCGTAATACACTCCGCCGCGATGCCCACCTCTGTGTGTGATGGGCAAGCCCTGGTGTCTCAGGCATCGTGCGGTCTCAGGCATTGTAGTGCCTCTTTTTCTTTCTTTCTTTTTTTTTTTTTTTTTGGTAGCTTTTCTGTAGTGTTTCTTAGTCATCATGAACATCATGGTCACCGTGTGTCTTGGTCACCGTGTGTCTCTTGGTCACCGTGTGTGTCTTGGTCACCGTGTGTGTCTTGGTCACCATGTGTGTTTTGGTCACCATGTGTCTTGGTCACCATGTGTCTTGGTCACCGTGTGTCTTGGTCACTGTGTGTGTCTTGGTCACCGTGTGTGTCTTGGTCACCATGTGTGTCTTGGTCACTGTGTGTGTCTTGGTCACCGTGTGTGTCTTGGTCACCGTGTGTGTCTTGGTCACCATGTGTCTTGGTCACCGTGTGTGTCTTGGTCACCGTGTGTGTCTTGGTCACTGTGTGTGTCTTGGTCACCGTGTGTGTCTTGTCATCTTGTGTGTCTTGGTCACCGTGTGTGTCTTGGTCACCATGTGTGTCTTGATCACTGTGTGTGTCTTGGTCACCGTGTGTGTCTTGGTCACCGTGTGTGTCTTGGTCACCATGTGTCTTGGTCACCGTGTGTGTCTTGGTCACCGTGTGTGTCTTGGTCACTGTGTGTGTCTTGGTCACCGTGTGTGTCTTGTCATCTTGTGTGTCTTGGTCAC